AGAAGAATTTTGGTCACCCATCCAATGACCGACCACTGTGAAAGTTGCTTAACTTCAACGATCGCAGCCGAAATGTACCTTTGACAACATATCTTTTCTCAGGCATTTAGGAATTAAAACCTGATCATTTCTAAATATCATATTATCTTGGACTGATAGGGAAGAGGCAAATTTATAAAACCATCTTAGACTTTCAGGCATATCTGATATGTAATTTGGAAAACCATTTGTTATATACTTAATTAGCTGTTGACATTCTAAATCAATTTCAGTTTCTTTTTTTATACTATTCATAATTTTGTTTGATATTTTGAGATATTTTATTGAAGTATGATTAGCTATAATATTAAAAATTTGTTTACAATCATCAGATGTGTCAGAGGAGTGTTTCATTTCAGTTGGAGCTCTCGAAAGAGCATCCGCAACAAAGTTATTTTTTCCACATATATACTCAATTTTTAAATCATATCTTTGTAGGATCATTAACATAAGCTGTAATCTTTTTGGAGCATCTATTAAAGGTTTCTGAAAGATATTAACTAAAGGTTTATGATCAGTTCTGACAATAGTATTAGTATTTGCGGTTACATACTGACTAAACCTAGCACAAGCAAAGACCACAGCCAACATTTCCTTTTCGATTTGGGCATACCTTTTTTCTGTCTTAGTTAAAGTCCTAGAAGCAAATGCTACCACCTCATTATTTTGATAGAGTGCTGCTCCTAGTCCTATGCTACTGGCATCGCATTCTATAATCAAAGGTTTGCCCATATCATAGTATCTAAGGGTTGGTAAGCTAGACAAAGATGAAATTATTTGATCAAATTCAGATTGTTCTTTTTCTGTCCATTGCCAAATAGCATCTTTTTTTGTTAATGCTCTCAAAGAGCTGACATTTAGACTTAAATTTTTAATGAACTTGCTCAAGTATGTAACCATCCCCAGAAGCCTTGATACATCTTGAGAACATGTAGGTATAGTTATATTCTTGATGGCTGTGATCTTCTCCTCATCCACTTTAAGGCCAGTATCAGTTAAAACATGTCCATAGAACTTCACTGATTTCTGTAACAAATTTAATTTATCTTTATTTAGTTTGCAATTATTTTCTCTCAGTCTTAATAAAAGGTTTTCTAAATTAATATTATGGTTTTTTATTGCTTCTTCTGTTGTGTTCCCTGACCCATATACCAAAATATCGTCAGCCATAACCTCAATACCCTTTAGAACATGTAGAACCGATAACAATTTTTGTTGGAAAATTTCTGGTGCAGGGGAAATACCAAATGGAAGTCGAACCTATACCTTCCAAAAGGTGTCCAAAAGGTTGTGAGTTTACTGCTTTTCTCATTAAGCTTCACATGCCAAAAACCTTTTAATGCATCAACAGTACTAAAAACCTTGGCTTTTCCTAATTCTGGCAATACTTCCTCTAAAGTTGTGAACTGAAAATGAGGTCTTTTTAACGCTTTGTTTAATGGTATAGGATCTAGACAAATGCGAAATTTTTTACCTTTGCGCACTATCAGTATGTTATTAACCCAATCTGTATGTGATTCCTCCTTTACAATTATGTCATTTTTTACTAACCTATCCAGTTCTTCTTTAAGTGATGCTCGGAGCGCCATGGGAACTCGACGTGCAGGTTGAATGCGGGGAGGAATAGATTCATCTATTTCCAAATCCACTATCCCTGGAAGCTCCCCTCGAACACATCTGCATATTTCTTAATGATATCATAAGCCTCCTTCTGATTGTCTGCACTCACTGTGACACTATTACAATAGTTTATCAGCCCAAGTGAAACACAAGCAGCTTCAGATAAGAGTGGTTGATGACTAACATTTACAACATGAAACAGCAGGCGGTATTTCTTATTTTTATATATGCACTCTATATCAATCACACCTAATGTGTCTATACTTGTGCCGTTAAAACATTTGAGTTTCAAATCTGTAGATTGTAGATGTTGCAGACAGTAATCTTTACTCATCTTCCTGTATTGCTTAGCACCAATAACACATACCTGAGCACCTGTGTCTAATGTGCAGAAAACATCTAACCATGTTTTATTAAATTTTAACTTTAGTTCCACTTCTTTTTGTCCAGAATGTTGATTAGTTCTAATTTTTGCTATATACAAGCTGTTATCACTTGTTTCTTCTTCTATGTTATCTGTATTTATTTCTTTCACTAGTTTGCTCTTTTTACAAACCCTTTTATTATGATTCCTGCCTCCACAATTTTCACATCTCTTTCCCCATGCAGAACAAAGCTTTTTATTAAATATGTGCTTTTCACCACAAAATTTACAGATTTTAACGTCTTTATTAATTTTATTAATATTGACCATACCTTCTGATGTGCCAAGTGATCTCAACTGCTCCGTTGTGGCTTCCGATGATTGACATATATTAATGGTCTTTATCAAATCGAGTCCTTCGACCCTTAACAATTCTTTTTTTGTTTCCGTGTTTCTTATTCCAACCACAATTCTGTCCCTTAACATTTCATCTACCATGTTAGCGTTGTAACTGCATGTTTTGATTAATTTTCTCAACTCTCTTATATAAGTATCTATGTCTGCACCTTCCTCTTGATTTCTTTTGTTAAAGAGATATCTGTTATATATAATATTATTATTTTTTATAAGACATTTCTCTATTTTTGCAAATATTTTAATCTCACTTTTTTATCTTTTTCTTCTAGGCCAAAATGCATGTATTTCTTCATAGCCGCGTGCCCAATAGCATTAAGTAAAAGAGTTGGTCTTTGCTCTTCTTGTAGTCCCGTGGCAGCGACATAATTTATCCATGTGGTTTTGAAGAACTCCAGAGCTTGCGCTGGGTCCGATGATTCTACATCTAAGGGTGCAGGCCAAGGAACATGTACTCTAGTTCCCTTATCTGGACTTCCCAGCAGCTCCATTTGTGCTTTCATCAGTTTTAATAGCTCACATTGTTTTTCAATCAGTTGTGTAAGTTCTGCTGGCTCCGCCATCTTTTTTTCCTTGATCTCTGCTTACCACAATCTTATAATAGTAGTAGAGAAATTTCTGACACCATGTTAATAAGTACGCCATATACTCCAAGATATAACAGATTTATTAAATAATTGTTACACTTAACAATGTCTTTTAATTTAATAGAAATCAAGTTAATATAGAATGGTTACATATCTCAAGAGCCAGAGTCAAAAGTGTAAGTCCCACAGGTTAGCATAACTTGGCTACATATTAGCCACAGACTAAAACATCTATTAAGCTGTACTACACAGAACAGTAGTGTTATAATGAAAGCAGAAAAAACTCCACAAAATTACAACTCTCTAGTGCCAACTGTCTCCCTCCAAGCAAAACCTTGGACGAACAGACAGAACGGCAGACGGACATGACGGAACTATATGGGTACCTTGTCAGTACTACGAACCATAAAAAGCTAGTTGGTTCTAACGTCCGGTAGGAGCGCTGCTGAGTGTCCATCTAAACTTTGACGATGCGATACGATCTGGGTACCCTTAGCATGAACCATTATCGAATTCGATAAGTTTGCGAGTCCGAAATGTCATTGTCAAATTTTGTATGGAAACTTGAACAGCAGCACCATAACGAACGTAACGAGAACTAAAAATCAGTACACATTTGATAATGACATTTCGGACTCGCAAACAATACGAATTCGATATTGGTTCGTGCTAGGGGTAAAGGGAAGATATGGTACGCTCATACTAGTATCAAATAAAATATGATCCGGCTCAACTTCATAAGCAACTCTCACACGCACACATCTGTATATAAATATTCAATCGAGACAGAATTGTACGCTTCAACGCAGCGCGAGCGAAACGGCGAATCCGCTTCCGAGTTCGTTGAGCTGTATTGTTATCCTTTCCTTGATAACAAAATGGTGATTACTCACGACAAACCATGATTTTTGAGAAAAAATGTTTTTACAGTTTTACGAATGAAAAGTGTTGCCGAGGGGTTTGCTATTGATTTTGAACTAGGTATTTGTGTTCTATATAAAAGCATCGAAGGCATTGTTTTATCTTTATAACACAGAATATACGCAATATTATTATATTGAATGCACATGCAGCGTGTTTGAATGTCAAATTGTGACTAAAACGAATGTTGGTGACTAAAACGAAACAATTTAAGCGGATCATTTTTGAGCCGCGAGTGCCATATCTTCCCTTTTTGTTTTTATCTAAGGTAAAATATTAAAAAAAGACAATTCATTGATTGATGTTGAATTTAATCAACCGTCTACTGTACCCCTAGCACGAAGCATTATCGAATTCGAATAGTTTGCAAATCGAAATGTCAATGTCTAATTTTGTATGGAAACTTGAACAGCAGCGGCACAAAGTACGTAACGAGAACTAAAAATCAGTACGCATTTGACAATGACATTTCGGACTCGCAAACGATACGAATTCGATATTGGTTCGTGCTAGGGGTACTGAACATATATACATGATATTGATTTGTTTTTTGGTCCGACCTTTTTGCACAAAAAAGCAGTGGTTCGAGATATTGTGTCCGTGAGCGGTGTCTATGTGTGCGTTGCTTGAGCGCACTTTTGTATGTAGATTACCTTCAGTAATGTCGATTTTGTGCTTCAGCTAAGCAATTCATATAAGCTATGACGGTTACTTTAGCATAGAAATAATCACTTAATCTCACAAAACTATCGCTTTATTAACAATTTTCTAAACAAACCATCTTTATTTTTCAAGAACCTATCTAACGAAATCAACCCCATGTAATATAAAAAAAATAACATCCCGACTTTACGCTTAACAAAACTTTAAGCGATCTAATTTTTTCCAAATTTTTAATTGGAGTACATGCCTAATTAATATTTGTCTAGTATTAACAGACAGACGGACATAGCGAAAGTTATTGGGTTCCTGTCCACTTGGAACCCCGATAAAAAAATGCAGTAACTAGAATGTACTATGCTGATAAATATGTATGGATGCAAGTAAAACAAATATTCTATACAAAAATATTTTTCATTTATTTTCCTTTTGGTTAGTGAATAATTTTGTATTCTTACATGCTGCAAGCTTATGGAATCATAACAAAATAATAATGTTTAGTACCTATTTACAATTTCTTCCGCAACAGAACAGCAATACTTATACCTAAAAGAAGGAAGTAAGTAAATGTCGTCGCTTAAGAAAGTTAATTAATAATAAAAAAAATACAATCATGGATTTTGGTTAATTCCCTTATTTGAGATAAGGTAATATCTAAATTCTGCCAATACTCAATTTAACATAAAATACATTATTCTTTCTCTGTGAAGCAATATTGAATCAATATGGGATCATTTTCAATAAAAAAGAAACAGTGTATCAGTTTGATAAAAATAAACATAATATTGGAACAAAACGGTAGAGTAGCCTTAGACTTTTGGAACTGATACAAAAATATTTTGGAGAAGATGTAAAATCTAATTGAATATAACATTGCAGTAATTTTAAGTCGTTTGCTTTGGAAAGGACGAATACGTTTTTTTATGTTTCCCTTAATTGGTAACTATATGGTACTGTTTAACGAAGGATCACCGTTATATCATTTGTGTTCGAAGAATATCTAAACCTCAATTATTTGCCAAAAGAGGCTAGATTGTAATAGCCCTTTTCATTAAAGGGTTTGATTGGAGGAGATTTTAATTAATAAATAAGAGCATATCGCTAGCATCAAGTACGCACTAACATTTCAAATAAAACGCTATATTTTGATGAATATTTTAATTAAATTTTGATAAAGACTACACGTACCTAGTCTTCATCAAAAGCCAATTTGTTTTTATGAGATCGTCTTTATTGTAAAAATCCATATAACTACTTCAATTTGGAAACGATTTTATATCGTCAGAATCAAATTATGATTTGGATTATTATAAAAGTTGGGACGCTAGGTACGTTTCTAAAGGCTTGCTGGTGATTACTACATTATAATATACAAAATTTGTACTTTCGTCTTCTAAGATGGTAACAACACAATAGAAAATGCATTTATATATATGACGCAATAAGTATACACATTTTAAATTTACAATAAACGTGTGTATCATAATTGTTATAAAAAGTATTTATCTCTAGTACTTACATTTATCTAATATCACGTTTTGTAAGTACCACTGCTTTTTGGCGATCATGCTGATATAAAACTCAATGACAACAATATAAAGAAGAATAAATAAATTAGCCCCTTAGCTAAAGTCGGATTAGATAAAGATAATGACAAAACGTACAAATGCTTTAAAAAAATGTTTTAAAGTGTCAAAATTATTCTGAACGGCATTTGGTGGTCAACCTTACCAGTGAAGTTGATTGCTTAGGGAACTGGAATATCTAATAACTATCTTGATGGATGGAAGGATTTGTGTAGTCGAGCGGTGGACAGTGTAACAAGGAGCACAGATGATAGCTGCTTAAGATGGCGGCATATGAAATTAATAAAACCAAGTTATGAGGGAGCCCAAGCGGGGTTTTTGGATTTATATGAGCGCGGAAGAATAACATATGGAGGGTAACCTTACACTATGTTAAGTACCCCAACATACCTGAGCCCTCTATGTAGGGCCGACCGTCTAGGGAAGGAAAAAATATTTTTAACTAGCGGCCATGACTTTTAGTCGCGTCCAAAACGTCATTCTTTGGAATAGGAGGTACTGGAGGGTTCACCTAACACCCCTTCTCAATGTCTGATGCGCTAGAATATTTTTTCCCCTATATGCTGGGCATTCATACGGCAACGCTCAGGTATGGTTGGAGTACTTCACAAAGTGCAAGGTTGCCCCCATATGTTATTCTGAGCCGCTCGAGTAAACCCATAAATCCCCACTTGGGATAGTAGTCTATCAAGATAGACCGTAGATAAATAAGAAAACGTCAGCGATACTCCTTATGTTTGTGGCACACTGTGCCCCATTTCAATGTCCCCCACTTGACCCTATTTGCAGGTGTGAATCACGCATTATGACCACAGAACAGAGAAAGAGGTTAAAACATGGTTCTGATTGCGTCGTTGCTCTCGGGTGTGAGCGCTGATTGGTTCGATTATTTGAGGTCGCGTTGTTCGGTCTATGAGCACCCACCCTTTTAGCCTCTCTCTGTGTTCTGTGATTATGACACAAGTAATAAAAATATACAAGTGTGGAATAAACAAATTAATAAAGATTTGGTTTTTTAAAGATAACACTGAATAAAAGGATAAATCTAATAATGGAATTTTTGAAGTGTTGATTTATAGCTAATTTTATTTTATTATTACTACACACACAAAATTTACCGGGAGTCAGTTCAGTACCTATGTATTGAAAGACTACAATAAAAAATTAGTTAAGTAACGCGTTAAAATAAGTTAATACTTACTTATAAAAATAATCTAAGTACTTATGTATAAACCATGACTTTGTGTATGAGAGTTAATCATTGTAATTGCGTGATTTATCTTATTCAAATAACAACAAACACGCAATACTATGGCAATACATTCCTAATAAAATTAAAAGGAGAATTTAGCTACCAAAGTCTTATCAAATTATATGCAAATCACTTCCGACCGTATTACAGTCATGTTCAATCACATTGTTTTGTATCGCCTTATCCTCTTTATCATATATCAATTCTAACTGCACCCGTATTACCATTGCGTTTCTCGTACACAACCTTTTCTTTTGGCGTATACAACCGTTCTTGAATAGCGGCGAAAGATTGACCCTTTGTTTCCGGTAGCAAAATCAGTATAAACACTACACCGGCCACTGACAGAACACCGAATCCCCAAAACGCAACGTAATCACCTAAACTATCCCTAACTACTTGAAACAATTTTGTAACTGCAAATGTCATTAGGGCCACACAAATCTGTATCACACAAGTGGCCTTTGACTTAATATGGGTCGGGAATATCTCCGACGTAATAGCGAAAGGCACTGTAGCTAAACCTATGGTGTAAGAGAATATAAAAATTGGTATCACAACAATAGGAATGAATTTCAGACTCACTATGTACTCATTGTTCATATCTTTGATAAAGAAATAGGCACCGATTATAACATTCGCCAAGCCAACGCCGCAAGAAGATACTAACAACAGCGGCTTTCTCCCTAGTCTGTCGACTAGTTGTGATGATATGGCAGACGTAATTAGTTGCACAGAACCAAAGAGTATGCATGATACTTCAGCACCCAAACCACCTTCTGCTGCGCCAAAAATTTGCTGTGCGTACGATATTATAGCAGTGCTTCCGCAAAACTGCTGCGTAAAATATATCCCAAGTAATATTATTAATCCCTTTCTGTTTCCTCCTACGGTGACTAAATCTTTCCATCGACCTTTTTCCTTCATGTTTCCGTTGACTAAAGTAGTCATGCTGTCTAGTTCTTCTCTCATGAAGCCTTTGCCTCGTAGTTTCTTTAGGGAACCCTCAGCTTGTTCTAGTCTTCCTGACTTGATGAAGTAGTATGGAGATTCTGGCATACCGCTGAATGTTACCACGAAGAGGATTGGTATAGCGATGTTAAAACTCGCTAAACCCAGCATAGAGACGTAAGGGCCGATGCAATATTGGGATAAGATGCCGAACTGAAATTAAAAGAATATAGCATTAAATGAAAAATAATATTCTTTATATACAATCCAAATTATTAGTAATTAATTTTATCTTAACAAAAAATATTTATTTTAAAAGCCTATGTAATATTATTAATATGACGGTAAAGGTAATCATGGTTTTTAATTAATATAAAAACAAGTTTGTTTTTAGTGGAATTTTGAGTAAAAATTTAACATCGAATCACTTTATAATTGTTTCTGACTAAAATGATTTCACAATGAAATCACGACAATTTTGTACGGAAAATTAAAGTTGTCTGCCCTAACTTACATTATTTGTTGTTTTGTTGTTTGCAGACCAATACAAGGTTAGATATATTATATGTAAACAAAAAGTCAAACTGTAATTTCAATGACAAAAGATACTGTACCTACTGTCTACTAATGTTGATATTTATGTGTGATTCACCTACCTCGGCTCCTAATACCGTTAAGAACTATTATTTCACTTACGAGCATACCTATATATCATCATCAGCTTCTGTGTATCTTTAATTACATTTTAAAACTATTGATGTTTTAACGCTGTATTAAATTCTTACACTGTATAAAAGAGAAACCATCCCCCTATTCGTCTAAACCCAAACCCATCGTATTATTCAATTAGATTTACGAAAACTATTTATTACCGAAACAACTTTGACATAATTGTAATTCAATAAGTATGTTTTGAATTTCAAATCAGGGCAGGAGTTCAAGTTAGAATGTCAGGTTATCTAGACAGTCACTACTACCACTCCTTCATATATTTTCACACATACCTACAATAATATGAGTAAATTATTGTATGTTTATCCATCGTTCGGTTTCTATTATTATAATTCCAAGAAATAATATTGTTTAGTCTAGAACTGTTCAGACAGGGATGAATTTGTAAATATGTACCTACGTTTTCGATTAATATTGAAAAGGGTAAAGGCTAAATAAGCATAACACGACCCGTCTGATGGTTTCTATTAAATATATCTACCGCTTGTATTACTAGATTATCACTTGCGCATTGTTTGCCCCGAACCCTTTGAGCACACAGAACAGAATGTTTTTTTTCCAGATCTGTGTTTCTGACCATTACCAATTAGTTTAGTTACTTCGAAAACCTCACTGCAAGAACCCAATAGGAAAATATCATATTTGACTGCAATTTATATAAGGCACCTTACAGAAAAACACAGTGAAATAACAATACCTTCTGATGGTGTTGTGTTTGTATCGGTAAGTACCTTTAGGGTCAAAGAGAAATTCTTCTCTTCATCTTCTTCTTCAGGAGTCAGGGTAGGTTGGTGAGTAAGGTTTCAGGGCTCCATGGGGTTGGAAATGATGTCAGAGTGTCAAAGTGTCGGTGATGCTAAAGTGACTAACAACCGACCATGCCCTAAGACACATTGAATTTCTAGCAGAATAACTGTTGCGTATTTCAATACATTAAAATGTGGTGATATTAACCTTAGACATGACAGTGATGAGGGTCGCCATGGCTCCTCTGACTTTATCGGAAGCAATCTCTCCAAGGTACATGGGTGCCGCAGTGTAAGCGATGCCGTATCCCAGACCAGATATGAGTCGGGAAACGTAAATAGTGGGTACATTGTTAGCCAGCATCACCAGGATCCAACCGATGATATACGGCACCGAGGCAAGCAGCAGAGTCTTCTTGGTGCCGATCTTGTCCGCCAAATACGACGCCGGTATGGGACTGGCAGCTGGAAATGGGAAAATAATAGTGTCACTAATTGTAATTTTCTTGAATTATATTCTCATGAAATAGGAGGGATGAAGCGAAAAACTTTAAGGTCGTAAAGCTCCAATCTGCTAAAGGTTGAGATGATTTCAATGCAAAATAACGAAGAAGCTAAATTTGGATCAGATCTGTTTAATGTGGTTACCAAGTGGTTACTACAACCTGAGATTAAAACGGAGCGGTTACTTTCTCAATGGTGGTTACCGAAACCTACCGAAACCAATCGGTCTCTTGACAGAATTTTACTATCTGAGCGAAGAGAAGGAATACCAATGGTTAACAGGTCTTCCGTCTGGTCTATGGCTTAATCAGTAAGACAAGGTCAATAACAAATCTTCTTGGTTTGTCAATAAGCTAACCAAAATTTTAATTAGTCAGAGCTCAACGGACATTCTTACAGAAATATATAGTCAAATTACTATTCTGTAGTACTTATTTGTTTCTGCAGTCAGCAAGGCGCCAGAATTTCATAGCACGGAGTAGGTAACGTGCGAAAATTAATTTTAGTATCGTAAGCTACAGTGGCTACTTACATATAGGCGAAACCCCTTGTTTGACTCCTCTTTGCAATGATAAACATATTTGAAATAAAAAAAAACAACATTACTCTTTGCTTACTCCGACACGACTTGAAAATGTGTACTTATGTCTATTACCTGAGCAAAGTATCATGAGCGAGACGATCCATGAGCTCTCGTCGTTGGAGATTTTGATGGGCGAGTCTGGCCCCAGCAGCACGGGCAGCGTTGGGGAAGTCCAACCGACTGTGGTACCCGCCGCCGCCGTGATCAGGGTCGCTGGAAAGAACCATAGCGATCCGAGTTATTTACTAGAATTAATGAGATACAATTAATAGATTTATTAAAACTGTTTAGTAAGTATTAGTATGTACCTAGTAGTACTATGTAAGTTAATACTTTATTTTTCATTTCATTTCTTTATTATTGAAAAAGGCGTTACGCCTCTCTAAACTCCTCGACAACTCCTCCCCACTCATTTCACCCAGCCTCAAAGGCTTGGTGAAATGAGCAGGGTCGTACCCAATAAAACCAAAAAAAATTCTCTTGCATCTCTCTGTGATAACACATATACCGAGGACCGAGGTCCCTAATATACCTGAGCGTCAGGTGGGTGGGTATGCCGTGGTAATCCATGAGGGATTGGCCACGCACATGATAATACCCAGATAATCTAAATGAAACAAAATCGAAGGGCAGGATTGTACTATTGTAATGTATTGTATATCGAATTGTGTGAAAATTCGTGTAAGTAATGTTGTGAAGCGTAAGTAAATAGATGAGGAAAGAGAAAAAAGAAAGGAAAACAACAGGAAAAGGTTACAGAATATATATTTACAGATTAACAAAAATATTTTTATAAAACGCAGCGATCTTCGTAGAGACTTGAGGGTCGGGAGGCCGCCGTGCCGTAGGTGGACGGGCGGTGTTATGAGTAGATGGGCAACGCTCCTGGTCGGTCGGCGCTCCCGGTTTACGGCCGGTGCTACTGGTGGTCGGTAAGCGCTGCTGGTAGGTTGGCTGGCGAAGTACTACCATTTCGCCATAAAGATAACTACATTTATCTACTTAATAAATATAACTACATTTATCGACTATTACAAAGGCGGTACGTAATTCGCCGGATCGGGTCGGCTAGTAATATTATAATTGCTGTGTTTGTTTTTCACCACGTACCTCGGGATTTTTAGTATTCGAAATTCGAAATGTAAAATAAATAATTCAATACGATCCCTGCATACAGGATCGCTGAGCTTATGAAGACATTTATATTTTTATTTTATTCAATCTTTTTAATGAACTACTACTTACAATATTAGTTAAAATACCCAAAAAACTAAATAAATATAATATTTAGATGAGACTCGCGTTTAATTACATTAGTTTATTTTTTCGATAGTAAATTGATTAAAATAAAAATAATGCCTTTTTCATACACACATGACATGATACCATATTTTTTACAATCTCTTTTTGTTTGAAAAGATGAGATATTTTATATTTTTTTATTTAAGAATTTGTCTATTTCGGCGAATAAGCACATTTGCGTTAAGATATCCTAATTTGCGAAACACATTTCACAGATTTATTATGATACCTGGCGCAAGTTTATCGATTTGTAATTTTATAATCATCATTACTGCACAAATAAATAATCATCGATGATTTATCTTATAATAATGTTTGAATAATATCATAATATATATATTTTTGATAATTAAGGTTCGTCGAAACTAAAGATAGAAACCTGGTTACGGTTAGGGGTTTGTGCCAACGCGACACGAACTTGGCCGGTTTTTTAAGTATGGTAGGTATTTTGAATTAATTACTTATTCTCCAAGAAATGAACTGTTATTCCAGTATCGCAAAATAACAATACGCAGTATCGTTAAAAGAACTAGGTATTCTCTTATCACTTCATTAATACTACATTTCTGGTTTTCCTATGTGCTAATTTTCCTTTATCTTCGGTGTCTATCATCATAATTATTCATTACAAGTGAATTTCCAATAGTTACTTCTATATCTGAATAATTCATATTTTCATCACGTAAGAATTATATTACGTATTATTATTATTACGTATTTTCTTTAACCAAGAGAGTAAATATGTACCTAACGTAAACAAAATTCTCTGTTATTATAGTAGTTACTCGTCGTAATATGACAAGATAATAATCAAAGTTGATTGTCAAATTCGATGCTAATTGTCAAATACCTATATGTAATTATGAAAACAAGTAATAATTATCCTTTGCGAGCACCGCGTATGAAAAAAGAGTATATAGCAAATGGGTTTCTAAATATCAAACATATCATGTTGTGTGGTTAATGGTTATTATTATTAACATTCAGTTACAGTTACAATTACGGATTAAATGACAGAACTATAAAATGGTATTTTAAATAAGATCTAAAACAGTTATTATAATTATCTTTATCATTTTGTGAGTGATTAAGACCAGGGATGTTACGGAGCTTCGACTCCGATTCCGTTAAGTCGGAACTTCCGTTTATTATTACACCTTCAGTTCCGAAACTTTTAAATCGGAGGTTTTAATCGGAGGTCGAAGCATAGCAAATAGCGACGGCCGCCTGCGTCGACCATTACGAACTGGTTCATACCAGCTGCGTCGGGGTCTGCGCAATAATAAGTAAAAATGAAAAAAGGGTAATTTTATTTATTTGTTTCTTAGGTTTTCACGCACATCACTCATTAAATAAAACTAGTTTTTATTTATTTATTGACGTTTCGTAGCCTTTACAGGCTTCGTCGTCAGAATAAAACTTTTATTTAATTTGTCGAGCTACATTCGAAAGACTTTTATTGAGCGTTTGGTTATTTCATTGTTCGATTTTTAAGTTTTATTGTCTATGTATGAATTTATTATTTAATTATTTTAATAAAGTATTTTATTTAAAATTCTTGTTTGTAATTTTGAGTTTATTTATTTGACCCTAACTACCGTAAACTACCACCGGTTCCAAAATTGGGAGACCTTCCTGAGAAGAACCGGCGAAACAAACGATAGAAAGCATCTCTTGAGTTTGTTTCGTCGTCGTCAATAAATAAATAAAGTTTCGTGCATTAACCCGTAAAACTAGTTTTATTTAATTTTATTTATTAAAATGAAAAAGGTTGACAGAATTATGTTTTTATTTTTTCTTAAATGCAAAAATATCTCTCTTTTGACCACTTCTGACTCTGCCTCTGACCCTGACTCAGCCTCCGACTCCGATTCCGACTCCGATAAATCAAATTTAAAAACTCCGACTTCGATTCCGATAAATTTACCTCCGTTACATCCCTGATTAAGACTCCTAATTAAGGCCTATTGATTAAGAAATAAAGGAACTATTGTCAGTTGATATGAGAATCGTCAAGATTACAGTAAAAGTTGTTGCTATCTCCCTATTGAAGCAATTCATTTTCATACAGTAAATTAATATTAACTTTACAGTATATTAATATAGGTTAAAGTACAAAGTAATTACTTTAAGCTGCAGGAAAGGTAACGAAAAGCGTAGGAAAACTTTAAGAAGAGGAAGTATAATAATTAATATTATTCAAGTTTAGAAATGTGTAGTCTCAAAATATAAAGTTGCAAAACAACATTGCTCCCGTAAATCAGAAAATCAGCTCGTACTTGTTTTGTATACTGACTAGTGGGTGCCTGCGACTTCTTCTGCGTAGAAAAAATGGTTTCTCGTACAGACTTCTACTCTCCTTTTCAGAACCTCATGCAAAGGATGATAGTGGGATAAAAACTTTCTTATGGTCTTTGTCGGGACTGAAACAATAACTATACCAAATTTAATATAGATTACCTCCGTGGCCGAGTAGTTTGTACGCCGGGTTTCATGATGTCGCCGACTCGAGCGGTCCCGGGTTTGAATCCCGGTGGGGGCAGATGTTTGTGTGATAAATACGAGCATTTGTACTCCAGTCATGGATGTTAAATATGTATTTCAATATAAATATACTTATATATGTACAGTATATGTATTCTATCCTAGTATCCCATAACACAAGCCTTACAGTACTTACTTTGGGGCTAGTAGGCTAACTGGTGTGAGTGTTGATAATAATAATTATTATTAATATAAATCGGTTCAGCGGTTTGAGCCTGAAGGGGTAAAATGCAGAGAGACACACTTTCGCATATAAAATACTAGCGGCGGGTGGCGACTTCGTTCGCGTTTACTGAAAATTCAGTACACATATAGTTTATTACCTGGATTAAGACATAGGATTGATAGGATACTTTTTATTCCGGAACAATGCGAGGTTCCTGTGATTCTCAAAAAACAAAACTTAACGCGGATGAAGTCGCGTGCTGCCGCTAGTTCGCACTCTAGGTTTGTATTTGACGACCTCCGTGGCCGAGTGGTTTGTACGCCGGGTTTTAAGGTGTCGCCTACTCGAGAAGTCCCGGGTTCGAATCCCGGTGCGGGCATTTGTACTCCAGTCAAGGATGTTTAATATGTATTTCTATATAAATATACTTATAAATGCATCAGTATATGTATTCTGTCCGTTACCCTAGTATACTATAACACAAGCCTACAATGCTTATTTTTTGGCTAGAGGCTAATTGGTGTGATTGTTGGAAATTATTTTTATTTAGAATTTATTATTTTATTATTATTTAGAAAATCATGCCAGAATCCGACACACAATTATCGTAAGTCCTAAAACAATAATAATAAAAAAAACCGGACAAGTGGGACTCACTCACCGAGCGAGGGTTCTGTACAACTGTGGTAAGGTAAAATGATAAGGCCGTTTATGTTGTGTATGTAAAAAGTTGTTACATACGCAACATAAACGGCCCTATAATTAAAAAAAATACACAAAATTTGTGTGCAACTGTATGTAAAAAGTTGTTGCATACGCAACACAAACAGCCCTATGATGAAAAAAACACACACAAATGATGGGGATGTTTATGTTGCGTATGCAAAAAGTTGTTACATACGCAACACAAACGGCCTTATAATTTTTTTACGTTAACTTAAGTTCGATTTTTCACAGCTTCAAGGGACCGTACCGGACGCTTACATCTAAGCGCAAGGTTTAAATAACTCGATACCTCCACACGTTCCCGAGCTAAAGGGTCTTGTCAGACAGACAACAAAGTGATCCTATAAAGGTGCCGTGTTCGTATAAAGGTTCCTTAAGAGGTAAGGAACCCTAAAAACAACAAAAAGAAAGCACTGATAAGCATCAGTGACTGGTTGCGGACGCAAAGGTCACAGCGATATCCCTAATGAACCAG